AATGACAGAGTGGCCTTTCCCTGCTAACACTCCAGATTCTAGTCATCGATATTTAGGAGACTTTCTGAAGAGGTTGCACCTGGACTTATGCTTAGATGCCACCATCAGTTGGTCTGGAAACCCTGAACACCTAGTTTTGTCCTTCCAGACATCCTGTGCTAATAATTTCCACAATTGGTTTAGCCACAGCGTGAAAAAATGTGGTGGTTTTGAGGCCAGAACATGGTTTTCTGTTCTCTCTGCGCCTTTCCTAATGGATTCCTGTCTTCTAGCTCCCTCCTTGACCGCTGCAGAGCACAAAGCTGGTCTTTGCAGAAAACTTTTCACAGGAATTCCGAAATCTTTTTCCTGTGAGCTATTTTATAGCTTGTCATTGCATATGGGTAGTTAGGCTTACTCCTTCCCCTGTGAATTCCTCTGTACTTATTGACATTGATTTTCATCTGCCATTTTATCACTCAGACATTCAGCATCCAGCCAGACAAGAAAACTCCAAATTTGGATTCCTTTAGCACCTTTTTTTTTACTTTAAAAGGTTTTTTTCCCCCTCTTTTTTCCGAAGTAGAGCTACATGTGCAATGCAATCACTTTTAGCAGTTCGACTTCTAGAACAAACCCACCGTGTCCCAGTAGCTATTTGCAGCGTGACGTTGTGCTGTCACCTCCTCACACTACAAGGTCCTGACATTTCAAGCAAATGTCATCACGTCACAACTTTCTATCAGCACAACTCACTGGTGTGATGCACGTGGTGCTGCAAGACCTTGTTTCTTATGGGATCTCCAACTATCCAAGAGGAGCCAGCGTGATTTCATAACGTATGTATCTCGTATCTCAGAGCTTAAAGTTTGAATCTGCAATGCTACCTGGGTAGTGGCAGCAGGTATTTTCGCTCAGTAACTGTGAGATTGAACTTCAAGCTGTATGCTGAAAATCTTTAATTCCCTTACGTTCCTATGGAAACATGAGAGGAACCTTCTGCCAAAGCAAGCCAAGGCCTCTGGCTTTACATGCGTAACATGTGAATTACCCGTTCCTGTGCGCATTTGCAGGAGCCAGCTCCCAGCACTGGAACTGTGCCATTTTCAGAAAGGAAACACAGAAAGGTCCAATCTAACCTCTACAATCTGCCGCAAAGAAACCGTGAGATGCTTCTTTCACTCTCTGCAGAAGTCATCCATCCAAAGACACTTGTCTGTGAGAAAGCAGGGCTCCTCTCCGTAATTAGATTTGATTCCAAGACAATCAGCTAAAGTCAGGAAGGGATTGGAGCAGTTGGTGTGCAAGGGGCATGTGCAAATGGGAATTTACGGCTTTGGCATGTGCAAATGGAATTTAGGGCTTTGACAGACTGAAAACTTTTCTACCCTGCAGAACATCCTAGGAAATGCAAGGCAATTGAGATTGCTTAGTCTCCGTGACAGAGGGAGAAGCAGAAAAGTGCTCTGTGATAAGAACACATGCACATGCCATTGCCCTGGAGCAGAACGATAAGTGGTAACTTTGTTATCCCACTTCAACTTATTTGGGTGTGCAAGCTCTTTGTCTAAGCTGGAATGCAAAATCAAGTTGTGCTCTATCAACTGATCAGAGCTGGCTTGAGAGCCAAAGTACGTACAGGTTATTATTACTGTAACTGGTTAATCAGGCCAGCCATCAGACCTCAGCATTGAACACCATGAGCGACTGTCAGCATACACTGCTGATAAATCCAATCCAATACATATGGAACTAGCTAAGAGAGAAAATTCTGCCTCATTTAAAATCACATTATCCAGCCTGCCACCCTTCACTGGCTTTTGGCCTGTCACACAGACTAATGGACAGGCGCCCTGAAAAATACTCGTTGTGAAAACCTAGGAATGGGTAAGAGCCTCTTGTGTTCGACAAAAGCCAATTAAGATCAACTAAATCTTCTATCATGCCTCTTCCAAAAAAGCATGTCTACCATATCACTTAAAGAGCTCAACTGCATTCCTGGTTGTCAAGCAAACACCAAGAAATATTAAAGAACTTGCCATTCGGTGGGCGAAATAATTAGAGGAGCCGTAACCTTCAACAGCAGATGCCAGTGACAGGTGACATGTGCCAATATCCTGGATGACTCGTTGAACAGGGTGCCAACTGGGGCACAATGCTGACAGATCTCATGGCAGGTGAAGACAACTTCCAGAAGGCCATGGATGCCAGTCAGATATTCATGCTTATACTGCCAGATCCCTCTGCAGCTTTTGACAAAGTTCTAAGATATAACTGATGTGTTTATATTGTATAGCGAGAATAAATGGCCACCACTGCTGTGGCTTCTCCCATAGGGTTCAGATGTGCAACAGGTCCCTGCCGCTCCTCTTCAAGGTTCTTGTTCCGTGATCCTGCAAAGATCAGTCCTGTCTTGGCATGAATTAAACACAAGTATCGGAACGTAAGACTAGAAGCAATCTTTTGGGTCATTTAGTCCTGTCATCCATTATCTCAGCAATCCTGCCATATAATCCCCTCCAAAATTAATGAACTTCATCTTAAAAGCAGCAAGTAATTTTTTCCTCACTGCCCTAGAGGCTATTCTGAAGCCTCACTGCTCTGAGGGTCAAATATCCAATCCAGGTCAAAATGATGCCCTTCAGACAGGGAGATGCTGCGAAGAACTAAGGAAAATGCTGTTTTTACCTCCGAGCAAAAATACACAGCTCCCATTCAACTCAGTGATCTGAAACATCAGTTCCCTGACTCCTAATTGACTTTGAATCAACTGGTTGCAACCCTGTCTGAATCCCTTCCTTCACCTCAGCTCAACAGAGAAGTTTGTTCTTTCTCTCAAACAATGACTTAGTCCTGAGGTTTTCTTGCCATGACTTCGAGGCTAGATTATCTTCCGTGGATTTCTGTATGACCAAATATGATATGTTTTTCCACGTATCATCCACCTCTGTGGCTTCCAGCCCATGCAATACTTACAATGCTGGCTGAAGGCCATGATTTTAATTGCCAAAGCGATCAGGGGATTAGTCTCTGCTATATGAAATTCTAAAATTTTTGATCTGTGAACTGCTGCATCTGTACGTCACAGCATAGCTCACAGTGGATGAAGACTGAGAGTAAATGTTTCAGACAAGGGGATCTGGCTGTAAAACAGCATTTTGGAGAAACACAAGATGTGATCGCTTCTCAGAAACATTCTCAAAGCTTTCTATCTGAAACAGATTTTCCATCATTTCTGTCACCATGATGACAGCCAAAAAAACATTATAGTGAGGATTTATCTCACCGACTTTATCTGTCTACAGCATAAATGTTTCCTTTGGAGATATTTGCTGTGGTGTCCTTTTATAGTCAATGAGGAGGAAAAGGTGTTTCTACAAGGATTCATATAATCTCTTATGGATGTCTGCTTTAGGGTGATATGAATTGCACCTTAGAAGTAAGTATTTCTCTCCACTGATTGGAAAAGCTCCAGATACTTGCTTGGATGCAAATGCAGATGTCTGCCTTTTGCCAAGTGATTGCTACCCTGCTCCAAAAGAAACCAAACAGGAAAATCCTAATATTCATATATTCATATATTCCAAGCAGAATTTTCACTTGCATAGAAAAGGGTGTTACAGGCTTCTACATTCTCTTACTGTTCCTTTACATTCTTTGAGTGTCTTGAAGACACTCAAATATTATGCTGAGCAGCATTCTGCCACCGTAGGGTACATGAGATGGATGAGTCTATTAGTATCTGTGGAGTTATTTTTAATTTATACTAGCATAAAAGAGAGGTGAATGGGGCCCTTAACTTCTTATTCCTGCCTTAGTCATGGACTTTCTCTGTGACCTTGTGAAAATTGCTTTATCTGTTATTTTCCCGATATGGTAAAATTAAGATGATCACACTCACAGACTGCTATGAGGTCTAATTAGTAAGTGTAAAGCACCATGAAATCCTCTGATGGAAGATGCAGAATATAGCTAGCCTGGGATAAAGAGGATTAGAGGAGGTTGTGCTAACATAACAAATACTTGAGAAATGATGCTTAGGGGGAAGTGAAATGGCACCTATCTGCAGGTGAGGAAACGAGAATCAGCAGTCTGTAACTGTTGGCGGCAGACCTCAAGTCCACTGACAGGAGTATGTCTACAAAGGAGGTTTGGACAACGAAACAGTGCTCAGAAATAGGTGAAATACTATAGATTAGTAGGATTGTCCTAGGAGAAACCCTTCCACATTTATCCATCTGGAATTTGACTGACCTGATGGATCTTTCACAGCTTTTCTCATCACCATTTCTGAAAGATTCACCAATGTAACGTTTTCATGTGCATGGCTAAATATTCATACCATGAGCAATAACACCATGTTTCTGAACATGCAAGACACGTAGTTATTAGAAAACCTTTTCCTTTCAGCGGTTCACTGAATGCCATGCCCTTTTCCAGAAGGGAGCAGGGATTTCTAAATTGCATCATGGGCCTGTTGGAAGTGCCTTCGGTGGAATGGTGCCAGTTCAAAGCTCCTGATAACCAGAACTCCCGCATGTTCCAACTCTCATCCCTTTCGAATGCCATAAAATATATTGCTCCCAACCAAACCAGCAGTCTTACTCTTGCATGAGCGTCAAACCAGGCGTCGGCTTCCATTCATCTCATAATCGTCGGGTTGTTGTTCCTTTCTGACTGTCCTGCTTTTTCCCTCCCCAGGCATCACCGTGGACAAGTTTGGGCTGATTTACTTTGTGGATGGTACTATGATCAGGCGGATTGATCAGAATGGGATCATCTCAACTGTGTTGGGTTCCAATGATTTGACATCTGCTCGGCCTCTCAGCTGTGACTCTGTCATGGACATTTCTCAGGTAAGACCATGTTTTGGTTGGGTTTCTACAGAATAGAAGCCTATGCCTTTACCCTATCTGCATGTCTGTGTGCCTCCCCAGGTTTGACAAAGAGGTAAAAGCTCAAGGAGAATTACATCTTTACATATTTTGTGATATGAAAATGACTGGGTCAAAAAGAAAAATCCTATAAAGACTGAAGGAAAGACCTAACTGACCTAACTCAGAGATCTCCGGGCAGAGAGATTTTAAAGATGTCCCAGCCACAGAATAGACTTTTGTCAGAGCTCCCAATCAGCTGAGAGACACAGATTCCTGGGAAGGCAGGTTTCATTGGGCTAATTTCTCAAGAAACTAGTTGCTTTAAACTAAAAAGGCCAGGCAGCTGTACTCACTTTAGTAGGGCTATACGCCATGCTCTGTTATAACAACTTAGCTAACCATGGGTTTTTTTCTTTGCTTCCCCCCATCCTAATTTGGCCCAGCACAATTTTAGACCTGAACCAAATTAACATCTAGGAAATACTGATTGGAGGCTGTGGTGCCAAAATTAGCAACAGCAGGAAAACAAGAGTCTTGAATTGCATCAGATTGCAAATTGGTTGCAGCTACCATCATGCTGGGCTTTTAAGTCCTGCTGCTTAAAGGTGGAGAGGAAAAAAAAAAAAGAGAGAGGTAAAAAGAAATCTCAGTTTGATGATTGCTTTACTTCTGGATGGCACAGAAGAGAAATCTGTTGCAGCCCAGCACTCGATTTTGTGGGGCACTGGCCAACCTGTCAAATTGTGCCAGTTTAGAGAGAATATCCTCTGAAACCTTTGTGCCACTTGTTGTTTGCCTGGCTAAGAGGAATGTTGCCCTCTCTTATGAAAATATAGATGATAGCTGGAGTGCTAAGTACTGTTATTCAGCCACAATAGAAGTCAATGGGGTTTCCTTTTTGTAACTACCTAGATAATTTCCGTGCTCCCATATGGAATCTGTTCTTCTTGTTTTTCCCTCTAATTGAAAAGATTATTCTTGCTTCTTTGCAACAGGTTCCCACTGTCCTCAATTTATGAACAAGCTGAAATTATGAGTTTAAAAGATCTCATGCCTTCTATAGAAGCAAATTTTGCTGGTTAAAGGCCATCTTGTAGTATGTTTCTCATCTTACAGGCTTAGTTTTTTCTTTATCTGAATTTCAGGGGCAGTTACCACAAGACCATTGTGGATTCAGGCTTTAAAAACAATTTTCTTCAAGGTTATGTGACTTGTATGTATACCAATGTCATATTTAAACACTTCTGAGATGAGCTAAAATGTATCAGCTGAAGACTCACTCTTTCTGTTCATAAAATGACAGGAGCCATTTTTAGATTAACCTGTACTGTGATGGGCAGATTAACTGATACTGTTCTGGACAGATGCACCGAAGACAAGTTGAATTTAAAAAAAAAAAAACAACAACCCAAACAAAACTCGGCTTGGGAAGTAGCTTTTCATCATTTACGGTGGTTAGAAGGGTCTTTTCTGTCAGGTCCCTGAGGCTCCCTGGGACATGAGGACATGAAATATTTAGCTGCCAATGTTGACAAGGAATGGTTTTTAAGAAATTGAAAATTCCCTTGTCAGTTCAGAATAAACTCTGCTCTTGATGCTAACTCAAGGCTGCAGAGCTTAAAGACCACTGGAAGGGATGGAGGCATGCATTATTAAAGAGAAAACCACAGGCTATAATGTTTTACTACAGGAAGGGTTAAAATAGGCCAGGAGCTGAGAAAAGGAAGGAGATTTTGCAAACAGAGAATCAGACTAGGTAGAGCTCAGCACACTGCTTAGCCATGGAAATAAGCTTCACAAGCCCAGCCATTAGAAGGCACAATGCACTAAATACCTTGCATCTGATGTTCTTTTAAAAAAAAAAAAAAAGTTGAAAAGAGATTTAAACATGAATAGAAGCATCAAAAGCAAAGCATGGCAGTGGCAGAGATGTTCAACTACAGGCTTTAAAAATAGGAATCTCTTGTGTTCCTCTAGATCTTACCTGGTCTCTTCTTGTCCTTGGTTTTAAATAAAACCACAGTGAGAGATGGTTTGATGGATTTGAGCCTGCTGGTATCTACTCCTCTTCCTTCCAATAAGGTTGTCACCTTATAGATGCAAAATACTCCCCCCAAACTTAGTCACCTCAGACAAATGAGAAGCAGCAGCAGCTGAGATGGACTGTGGGAGAGGAAGGTTTGCAGCAAAGAAACAGGGAGATCCTGGAATTGCACAGCCTTGAGTGTGCCCAGATCCCAGACATCTCACTGTTGGGTCCAGATAAAAAAAAACAGAGCAGCGGGGAGAATGGCACAAAGTGGCCAGTTTCTTAGTTAACCGTGAGATATCAAGTCCATCTGCTCTAACTTAGAGTTGCCTGGCTAACTGAAAGGGTGTATACACGCAGAATAGCTATTCTTTCTAACTAGCTGAAAATCTATTTTAAAGCCTGGCTGGAGGTGACCAAGATCATTCTTCACAATTGTTCGTTTACAATCAGCCTTCATATCGCCACTATGGGGAAGATGCGCCGTTAGGAAAACATTTAAGCATTGGCTGGTTCCCATCAGCACAACATTGACATTTTTTTGTATAAACCTGAAGTAAAATAAAATAATTTTTAAAATGCTCATTTACAGTCCTTTGTAAAAAAATAAATGATCCTGAATTCTGTTGGTACAGGTTTCTTAGGTTTGGCAACTAAAAGAGTAGACTCACTTGAAGAGACAGTGTCTTGCAGAAGCAGAGCAGAAATTGAGACCTTCTAGTGCTCACTCACTTGTGGTGTTAGGACAAAAATAACTTTTTTCAGTTTATTTGTGTATATGGATTATCAGTGTAGAACTGTGATCTGTCACTATTAATTGAACCCATTCCTCCATTATGCTCAAACAAATGTGAAAACCACTGTGAAGACACAAGTATTTTATTCTACGAATTGAATTGCCTGAATTTCTTATGAATTCCTGTTTTGCATTTTTGCAGCATCAAGCAGAAAATAGGTGGTTATAACTTGGACATACACACATGCCGACACAGCTGCCAGTTTTATGTCTATCCCTCCTTGTCATTTACCCAGAGGAGCTGGGCCACTTGTCTGGAAAATCCTTTAGTAAAAGGATCATTGTGGTGTTTGACTGATTTCATAGCACTTCATGCAACAAAATTCCCAATCCCAGGTCTCTGCTATCAGGTCCAGGCTCCATCAATTCAAAGAGCATAGAATGGTTTGGAGAGGGGAAATCCCACTTGAATCTTTGGGTCTTCCTGTTTACTCCTGCGTTCCCTGGGCACTGATGCCCCTTCTCATGGTCTCTGACACCTCACGATGAGGTGAAGAAGCAGAGAGAAACCACGGTGCAGAGCAAGAGCTAAGCCCCCTCGCTGACACCAGGACTGTGTCCTCTGTGGCCACCGTACCAAGCAGTAATCATAGAATCATAGAATCAGAGAATCATTAAGGTTGGAAAAGACCTGTAAGATCATCGAGTCCAACCGTTAACCCAACACCACCGTGCCCACTAAACCATGTCCCTAAGCTCCTCATCTACACGTCTTTTAAATACCTCCAGGGATGGGGACTCCACCACTTCCCTGGGCAGCCTGTTCCAAGGCCTGACCACTCTTTCAGTAAGGAAATTTTTCCTAATGTCCAGTCTAAACCTCCCTTGGCGCAACTTGAGGCCATTTCCTCTCATCCTATCGCTGGTTACTTGGGAGAAGAGACCAACCCCCACCTGGCTACAACCTCCTTTCAGGGAGTTGTAGAGCACGATGAGGTCTCCCCTCCGCCTCCTGTTCTCCAGGCTAAACAGCCCCAGTTCCCTCAGCCGCTCCTCATCAGACTTGTGCTCCAGGCCCTTCACCAGCTTCGTTGCCCTTCTCTGGACACGCTCCAGCACCTCAATGTCCTTCTTGGAGTGAGGGGCCCAAAACTGAACACAGGATTCGAGGTGCGGCCTCACCAGGTCCGAGTACAGGGGCACGATCACCTCCCTACTCCTGCTGGCCACACTATTTCTGATACAGGCCAGGATGCCATTTGCCTTCTTGGCCACCTGGGCACACTGCCGGCTCATGTTCAGCCGGCTGTCAACCAGCACAAATAATTAGTTGTGTTTCTTTTACCCTTTCTCCCTTTAATTCATGTTGAAACATCCTCATTGCAATTGATTTATAGCATTCATGCAGTGAAAAAAGGTCTTGCTATAATAATTTCCTTGTGTTGTTTTACCATTAAGGTTCGTCTAGAATGGCCCACGGATCTGGCAGTCAGTCCGATGGATAATTCGCTGTATGTGCTCGACAATAACGTTGTGTTACAGATATCTGAGAACCACCAAGTGCGCATCGTGGCAGGGAGGCCCATGCATTGCCAGGTGCCGGGCATGGATCACTTTCTCCTTAGCAAGGTGGCAATCCACGCCACCCTGGAGTCTGCTGCCGCCCTGGCCGTCTCACATAATGGGGTCCTGTATATTGCTGAGACCGATGAGAAGAAGATCAACCGCATCAGGCAGGTCACCACCAATGGAGAGATCTCTCTCGTTGCCGGTGCGCCAAGCAGCTGTGACTGCAAGAACGATGCTAACTGTGACTGCTTCTCGGGGGACGATGGCTATGCCAAGGATGCCAAACTCAATGCGCCATCCTCCCTTGCGGTGTGTGCAGATGGGGAGCTGTATGTTGCTGATCTTGGAAATATCCGAATCCGCTTTATTCGGAAAAACAAACCATTCCTCAACACACAAAATCTATATGAGTTGTCTTCACCCATAGACCAGGAACTCTACTTGTTTGACACCAGTGGTAAGCACCTTTATACTCAGAGCCTTACCACTGGAGATTACCTTTACAATTTTACTTATTCCGGAGATGGAGATATAACCCTGATCACTGACAATAATGGCAACTTAGTGAATATCCGAAGAGATTCCACAGGGATGCCCCTCTGGCTGGTAGTGCCTGATGGCCAAGTCTACTGGGTGACAATTGGTACCAACAGCGCACTCAAGAGTGTAACAACACAGGGGCATGAAGTGGCCATGATGACATACCACGGCAATTCCGGTCTCCTTGCCACTAAAAGCAATGAAAATGGTTGGACAACGTTTTATGAGTAAGTATATTACGCATATTGTGCTGCTGACTTTATTCTGGGTTCTCTGAACCATGCGGGGTTGATAGAGTGTAATTCCCTGGGCAGAATTATTGTCCATATAAAATGGCCAGAACAGAGAATGTTACATCTCACACAAACACTAAATACTGGAAGTAAGCGCATTAGAGTTTGAATAAGCTCTCTCTACCAAGTCAAGAGTCAGACAGAGTTTCTGCTGAGTTTTTCTAAATCAGCTAAGTAATTTGGACGCCTGGTTCTCCTTAACTTAGTTGGGACTGGGGATTTAGGTTGCATGTCGGAGAATTTTTCTTGGCTTTGAAAGCCTTGGAAGTGTGAAAGTTCCATCAGATCCTCTTTTTTGCAGCTTTTCACCTACTTCCTATGCTGCAGTGTCTTTTTTGAGCTTGTTTGAAATGGCTGATGTAGAATGACAACCGACAATGAGTAATGACAGCTTGCTCAGAAAACGATTCTGTAATTAATGGACTGCTCAGTTTCTATTGTTGTAATTGGCCTCACTAAGGAGTAAAAACAGTCTCAGGACTGTTCAAGACCAGCCCCAAAGAATTTCTGAGCAGAGAAAAGACAGGATGCATTGAAAAACCCAGAGATGGCAGTGACTTGAAGATTTGTACTTCTTTTCTGTATTACTGTTAGCAATTCCCTGCTTATAAATACCATGAAGACAACACACTTCTGATATCAAATAGGAAAAAGACAGATAACTCAATGAACAGCATCTAGAAGGATGGTCTGCAAATTCATCCTGCTGTTGAGAACCCTTTCCCCTCCCTCTTCCTTAGTTTCATTTTTATTTTCAAGTCTAGCCTCTCTGAAATGCTCCTTTCAGTGCAAAATTTCCCATATGGTTTGAATGGTTACATGGAAGTGTTCAGCTACCATAATAATAGACCCATTGTAAGAGTCCAATTTGGCTAGAATAGACAGTTCTCAAGATTACAAAGAAAAAAACTGTAAAAAAAAAAAAGACTCAGGGAAGGAAAGCTGGCTAAACCCACGTATTCGTGTGTTAGACATGCAGTTGCTTTGCTTCTTTCTTTAAATTGTTCCAGGCCCAGTTTCAAATTTCTTTGCTTAATACTCCCTATTTCTGCTCCTGCCTCAAAAAGAACTGATGGAAACTCTGTGATGAATCTTTTGAAAGGTTATTTGCATTCCATCAATGTTCTGCTTGCAATTACTATAGCAATATTCCTCAGTGAATCAAAGTTAGTACCCTTCCATCTCTTACATTGCATTTGCTTGAGGGAGGCTTTGGGGAGGAAAGATAGGGTGTTTTACTCTATAGGAGTGGAAGCCTGCTATATTGTCAAGACCATTGTGCTAAATCAAGGAGGTATTTTCTTTTTGCAGAGAACCTGATAGTTCCTGTGCTTGAAAACAGATGTAGCCACGGACAGTGAAGCAAACTAAACATTACAGCTAGTAATGGTCAGATTTATACCTCAAACATATACTTTTATTTAAAAGTGTGACTGAAAATATAAAGGAGATAAAATGAGACAGAAGCTAAAATCTAACTTACTCTGTGGATATGTTTATAACAGTGATCCATTATTTCTTGCTATCCAACAAAATAGAGCATTTGTGAAAGTCATCATTCTGGTCCTTTTATGCACTTCAGAAGAGTCATAAGAAAGCTTTTTAGAGCTAAATGGAAGACAGTATTCTCCAGTGGTTAGACTACGGAAATCTTGACTAGAGCGAGTCAGCACTATATGATAGCACAGCATCACTGAAAATAGAATTGGGAATGTGTCTTCAGAGATAACTCATCCAAACTCATCCAGTAGAGATCAGTTATCTCTATTTAACTGTTCCTGACAGATTCTGATGCAACTTTATACAACTACAGGGTAAAAGTCTATATCTGAATTAGTCACCTCAGCCTCCCTTCATAGGCAATGGAGAGAAACAGGCACTTTCAAGGTGAGTTTCTTATGAGATATGTCAGGTATCTGCTTTAGGATGAGATGAGATGAGTTGTATTCTGAAAGTTTCTCTCTGTAAAGCTAGTCCAGAATGATTAGCTCAGATACAGATGCTTACATTGCAGATGTCTACAATTTGGTCAAATGGATCCTACCAAAGTCATCTAAGTTATTCATGAATATTGCTAGTGATAACAATGTATTTACCTATCTTATTGTTATTGTTGGAAAGCTTTTTTAGCATGCTCAATCTAAATCTTCCTTGCTTGAATCGGAGACTGTCACTCTTCATCCTATCCTGTCCTGTCCTGTCCTGTCCTATGTGATCCTGTCCTAACCTGTACAGTAGGGACTTGGAAAGCAGATCAGTCCGCTCTTCTCAGCTGTGCAAAGTACATACCAAATGGCTCAAGAACTTGCTCTGTGATAGTTCTCAAAAGGTAATCAGCAATAGGGAATCGCCCAACGGGGTTGTTTCGGGTGAATTGGCAGGGATTGACTCTACCCAGGGTTTACATGCATAATCTGGGAAAAAATGTAAAATCAGAACTGATAAAAGAAGATTAATACATAAAGGTGAGATACTTACATTGCTTGATAAAATAGATTTCGTTTAAACAAAATATGGTCTTACACAGTCTAGTGCCAGGGTACACATGTAACAGGCCACAGCTAAAGAACTGGGGTGAGCATTGACTCTCACAGGTTGTCGTGAGCAAAGCATCAAGTCATCCAGTGTGATTCTCAGCGTAATTCCATGGCGAATCTGTCTAACTTGTTGCTTGGATGGACAAACAAAATGAATACGTGTACTCATCCCACTCTACTTGTAGTGGGTAGTGCAAAGCTGATTTTATCCCTGTACAGCATTGATGAGACTGATACTGTCAGTTCTGATGTTTGCAGTTTATGAAGGACAGTAAAAATCGAAGGCTGTGCAGAAAAATACTAGAAAAGTGCATCTGTGGGGAGAAAATGCTTTATGCTGGAGAACTAAGACGACTTGATCTATTTATCTTAACATGAAGGAGACTGGGAAGTGGCTAGATCACACTAGCATGTCAGCACAAAACTATCACTTACAGAGGGACTCAGTCTAGCAGAGAAAGGGCTGAGAAGGGTAAGGGGCTGGAAAGCAAAGCTAGCGACATTCAAGTTGACAGGAAGGCATGAGTTTTTTAAGGCTGAGATTACCTAACCGGTAGAGCAACCAACCATAAGAAGCAGTATATTCTCCATTTCTTGGTATCTTAGATCATGACTCTGGATGCCTTTCTTAAGATATATTCTCACCAGACAGAAGATTTGCATGAGTCAAACACAAACTGCAGGGATGAGTGCAGGCATGTCAGGGTGAAATCTAAGTGCTTTGATATCCGAGAAGATGAAGAAGATGGTGTAAACCAAATCAGCATTCAATACCTTCAGGTCATTGGTTTCTGTATCGGAACATCAGGAAAATTACATTGGAGAAGTTTAAGTGATTTAGAGAAACTCTCTGATCATGAGCTACTGGAAGGTGCTCTGAGTAGTTTTCAGTCCTGGCTGAGGGGGAAGGTGAAGCTCATATTTCTGTTTTGCTCGTGGCCAAGGAAATAAATAAAGACATCAAATCTGACTCGGAGGAAAATCTTCATGTTTCTCACAGCACATAATAGTTGTTTATGGGCCAGGGCAGGCTGGACACCACTGTTTAAAAAGTTAAGAGTAAACATAAATTCACCTGGCAAGTTTACACTGCACCAGTGGCCCCATGAAGAACGTCCTTATAAGATTTACCTTTACCTGACTGCCTACAGAGGACCATAAACCAGACACCCAACATGAAAGAGCAATGGTGTTGCAAGAGTGGCAACGCTACGTGTGTACATGTCCAGCATCTCTGATTCTCCTTCAGTTGTTGCTCTTACCAGGGCATTTCTCAGCCTTTATCATAAGGCTGCAAAGAGCTGTGACATATGGCCGCGTTGGTGTGACTCTGGAGAGGAGAGGAGGAGGCGGGATATGTTGAGGTCCATCTCCAGGGCACACCAGGGAATCCAGGTCCTCCAAGAGTTCAGCCTGGGCTGGCACATTGTCCCTTCATTTCTGTAGGGGAAGGAGACGGGCGCTGTCTTCAGGCGGTGGCAGACTTGCTCACAGCACTTACAGCTCTTCCTTTCACACATCTTACACCAAAGCCTGCGGTAACAATCCTGCTTTATGGGGTTTAGCGCTGAGTAAGGTTCAGTATATAATGCTGTGCAGTTTCTCTTTCCTTTGAGACTGAAACTTAACTCCCTGCAGTAATTAGCCTGTCCCCCAAAGGCCGATCTAGGACTTCTTTGAGGGTTTTAGCATTATATATACCTTCTCTGCCTCTGCAGAGGGCTTGACATTTGCTGTCAATTAATGCAGTGCAGCTCAGCCCGTCCAGTAACTGGATTAAAGACTTGCCTCCCCATTGAACCTGTGACAGTGATAATCAGCAGCAAGGGAAGTTGATCTGGAAACTCTGCCAGGGGAACAGCTTCTTGTTGTTCAACTCCTCAAGTCAAAGACAAAGGATGCTGTGTGACAACTTGCTGCTTTGTTGTTGCTGCTTTTTCACTTGACCTGAAAAAATTGCTACCAGCCTTTACAAAGTTTCTTAGCAGTTGCTGTTTATCTACTTCAGAATCCGGAAATTCTTATTAATGTATTTGTTTAAATCAATAATACGGCAATTATCTTGATTAGCTCATTGAGATGGTATCACTGTACGTTAATTCAATTTCCCTCTGAGCCAAAGTCAAACCTTCTATGCATTATTTAGCCCAGATGAGGCTCTTTCGCTTAGGTCCTTTGTGTCCCCAATTAGTTTCCAAGGTCACATTCTCCCATACAGAATGAAATACTTACACATCACTGCAGCCAAGCCCAGAAATTCAAAACTTTTTCATGGACTGCCCAAGAAGTGGCTCACAGCTGCCTGGAGGGTGAAGGGTACCGTAGAGCCAGATCTTCAGATGGGTGGTAAGGGGAGCTTTGACCCGTAACGTAGGATGCTGTTTTACAGAGAACCAA